AAATTTATAAAAGTATCTTAAATGTATTAAGAATTATGAAATTGGAATACTCAGTTTTTATTTAGATGTGATAGTATATTTTCAATTTTTTAGATGGAAATATTTAATAAACACAGTTTTCTGAATATGTTCTTAACATTGCTTCACCACAAGGGGTAGTTTAAGATGCATGGAAATACAGTCTATAGGTGTACTGGGGGAAGGCAGAAAATAGCACCAAGTGATGAAACTTTGTAATTTGCACCATTGATAATACAAAACTTGTGACTGAAAGAGTGTCCCTAAGGAAAGACAATGAATCAACATATGTGTGTACTGTGTAGGATCCAGTTTTACAGTGAGAGTGCTGTCCATTCTCACAGAAATATGCTTTCAACCTACATATTTGGCTGACCTATTGATCAACTGTAATTCATTGACCTTGTATTTTTAACCAAGATACATCCTATAAGAGATTGAATTTTAGACACTTGTGGATCTTGTTCATCAACTAACCAATAATGCTGTATTCATTTGTGTGCCAAAACCAGTATAAACTACCATGGGAAATTGTATTCTGACTGAGGAGTGATGTACCCTAGGGTTACAGCAACCAAGAGTTCAAAAATTGATGAAGAAAGCCAGCAGAAAGGAATCTTCATCCAACAACATTCAGATTCTCTCTATTAAAGGTTGCGTATGACCTCTCCTTGTGGTCCTGGCACTTAAACATCAAGTCAACTGTGTCAGCAGAGCCTTCAGTACCTCCAGTATCAATGGTGGCAAGTCTTCTGCAGCTAAAACCTGTCCTCCAGGCCAACTTGCAGTAAACCATGCAGAGGCATTACTGGGCACTGGCACATGGGGCTTGTGCCCCAATTCTATCTGACAGTGTCCCAAATCTCCAGAACAAAAAACTATGATCAATATAATACTGAAAGGCCAAAAATTCTTGTGCCTATGGGCCTGAGCCCCAAATCTTTAAGCACCTAGTGATGCCTCTGAAACCATGGTTGGTGAAAGGTAACAACTGTTTTAAAAATGCCGGGTAGGGAACCTGACAGACTCAAGAAATGTCTTGCATTGATATGGAAGGTATTTGAAGTAGCTGTTTTGGTGTTGTTTTCTAAACTCAACAAATACTGGGGTGTTTTTAACAATCAAGAAAGCTTAAAAGTTTTATGAGACCAGAGGTTTAAGAATAGCTGCAAATTGTGAAATGATTGACTGAATGAAATGAGTTATCTAATGAAGTTGTGAGAGAAAACATGATATTCACCACAATTTTATGATGAGATTTTCTCCTGAAGTAATGCATATTTTGGTCATTAGTAATATAAGTTCGACTTTCTTTTAATATATGCTTTTTGGTATTATCTTTACATGGATTTTGTTGTGTACGTTTTCCTGAGAGGTTATTTTAATGTGTTTTAAAACATTTTATTATGAATTTAAAAAGGTTTATTTTAACGTGTGATAAATGTTTATTATTTTGTATTGTTTTCAGTTAATTTTTTGTATTATATTACCTGTGTTAATGGGTTCTTTCTTATGTGTTATTTACTATGCTTTTAATGTAAAGAACTTTTGATCTTGTATACTATACTTAATTCATGTCTTTAGTTTTGTTAAAAGATATTGAGTGTGATTGTATAGAATCTTTGATTTTGACCATTTCCATATTGAAGGATTTGTTTTATATGTTTTGATTTATGAAGAGTATTTTGTATCTTGTGTTGAAGTTCTGATTATAGTCATTGTTAAAGAATCATTTCGATATGTAGTTTTCATTGTTAAAAGTTTTATAAAAGTATTAGTGTGTGGTTGAATCTGTTATTTTTTTGTATTTTATTTTGCATTTATGTTAAAGGGTTTCATCTTATTTTTGCAATGTATTTTCTGTTGTAAATGGTTTATTTTCTAACATATTTTTATTTATTTAAAAGTCCAGAGATAATGTTTTTGAGTGGATTATTTATTTTTTAACTTTATTACAATGTTCCTACTGCTGGTGTGGCCATCATCAGGTAACTGTTAACCATTTTATATGAAATATTGTGCAAGCATTTTTTTTCCAATTTAGAAAACATATAAGGTGACACCTGTTTTTTTTATATAAATTTAGTTCATGAATAATTTCGTATATTTTTCTTCTATTAATATTGTTCTCAGTACATAATATTTTATTGTACAATACTTGAAGATAGCTTTGATATACGGAAACATTTTTTGTTGAGTTCTTACACAGATCTTAAAATATAACATTCATAAATGGAAACATCGACTCATGTAGATCTAGAAAGTCGAGTTGTTCAAAACTTGAAAATAACGTTGATAACTGGACCAATTGTTGGTTTAGATGTTGCAAAAGAAACATCTACTGAAGCTTTTCACCAGACACTAATCATAGCATAATATTTTATAGTTGTTAATGTTAGTTGGCTGTAGATTTTTTAAACTGTGTTTGTAAATGTGTGATGGGGAGTTATGGTTCTTTTATCCTACTGTTTATGTTGCACTGTTTCAATTATATAAGTGCTGTCACATGATCAAATTGATATTTGTAGATGGTTCCATTATTGAAATTCTCAGAATAAACCTTCCTTAAATGATTGTTGTTCTTTGATCCTATTGTTTATGTTGCACTGTTTCAACTATATAAGTGCTGTTACCTGATCAAATTGATATTTGTAGATGCTTCTGTCATTGAAATTGTCAGAATAAACTTTCCTTAGATGACCTTTGATTTTAGTGCTAAGTTTCTGAATAAAAGTAACTTTACTGTTTAGATTGTATTTTTTATTACATGTTTCCAAGTGTTTATGATGTCTTTGGTTACGCAGCCATGGTATGGTAATGCACCTATTAGTGTTTCTGAGTTTGTGCATTTTGTTTCCTTCATGGTTCTTTTTTTCTGTTATTGATCTGTTAAAGTCCATTCAAAAGGTGTTTGAATTTTTTTAACTTTAAAATAAATTAAACATTTCAACCCCCCCCCTAAAATCTCTACAGTTATTCACTAACAGTTAAATGATTTTAAATACATAGTCAATTTATCAATACACAAAAATATTTAATACAATTTAATTTGCTTTAGCACCAACCTATTATTTAATTTCAATTTTGAGGTGGAATGTGAAAGCAATAGAACATGTTAGACCATGGGAACATCCTCAATCTGCCACTAAGTAAACAAAAAATAAACACATATGTATAAATCTGTAAAACATGAAGATATGTACTTATTAGAATTATTAAGTATCACAGAAGTTACAATAAGTAGATCTGGAACTAGTGACTTACTAATGAAAACCATCTATAAGGTTAATGTAAATCTCAGATAAATTGGTTACTAAATTTAGGAGACATAACCATTATATTAAATTTACACTTCTTCATAAATATTAAACTTGCAGTAGAAAATCAGCATAATTCAAGATGGCCAATACTAGATAGGTACTAAGTACATACATATCTTTGGAATTAATATTTACTGAAAACCAAAGTTTTCTAAAGGTTTTGGTTAATTGGGTCATATAAAATTGTGATGATCATTATTTTTAGTGACATAGTACCAAACACATGATGTATCTACATTAACTATATAGACACAGCATGGTCATTAGACAAATGATCATTTTGACAAATGGTATCTTATCAATAACCAAAAAAATGATATGCTTTATCTTATTTGACCATTCGGTCCTCATTCTTTTGTACTGTTGTTATATATGTATTGTCTTGTTTTCTATTAGAAGAAGAAACTTGCATTTATTTCTGTTTCAGACATGGTTCCATGATACTTCAGATTGATGTTGACACTGAGAAAGGAGGACTGACTTTGAATCCTGATTTCCTTGTAGACTTTGGAGAAGACCCTGATGGTCCTGTCTTAGCTCATGAGATGCGATACCCTGGTGGTGATTGCACTTCTGACATTTGGATTTGAAATAATGAAGTTTTTAAGTTTATAACTTGGATCTAGAAATTTCAATTTTATAACAATTTACTTTTGTAAGTGCAGAGAGTAAAATCTGAGTATAAATCTAGGATTCTGAATTGTGCTTTTGTCTGAGTTGAAACCAATAGGTCAATAAAACTCTTTTGTTCTAGTAAAACATATTGTTATGCCTCCAGTCGTTAATTAATTTTCCATAACTTTGTTTCCACGAAACTTTAGCGACACAAGTCCTTTCTTAATAAAACTGGTTTATTCTTTCTGAATATAACTTTACCGATACACTTATTTTCAAAAGTCGCTCTATAACAAATGCTATAACAACGAACTTCAACAAAACTTTCTGACTGCAGTTCAATTACTCACTACCTACACACACATTCCCGTCACGTTGTGAGCATCTTATATATATATACCAGACAAACATATATCTAGTAAATGCTAGGGCATTCACGAAGGAACAAGATATTTCTAGAAAATAGGTGACGTTACACAAGACACGTGACCTCGCTGACGCAACAATATATTTCACCACTTCTGATTTTTGTGTGAAAATCATGTTTCTTTCGTATTTAGAGAAAAGGTAAATTCATAATGAAAGTTCTAAAAATGAAAGTTTCTAAAATGAAGCTTTATTTGTCTCTAAATTCTTTTTAGTCATAATTTTGGATATTAATTGAAGCAAAACTTAAACAGTATAAAACTAATGACAGTTCTACAGTAAGAAAGGTAAAACAAACATAAACTTGTTTAAGGTCTTATGATTTGATCAGTTCAAATATATGTTAAAGATGTGGCAACATTAACCCTTTATGGAGAAAAATAAGTAATAACATTAGAATTTGTGTATGAAACATACAGAGAAACTTTTACACTGCAATATTGGAAATTATTTGAGATAGAAAACAAATTCTAAAGCAAAAAATGTGAACTACAATATACTAAAAAAATTTACAAACTGATGGAGAATCTGAACATTTTTGTTGAGTAATAAATAAATTCATTGCTATCCAGACATCAGTAAATTATAGTAAAAATTAAATGTATAAACATTTTTCTAATGAAAATTATCTGTATTAACCATGAGATTGTTTTTATGACATGAAAGCTAGAACTTTATTCTTTTCATCGTAATTGACTTTTCTTTTAGATTTAAATGCATAATTAGTTCCATTTACTCAAAACCTTAAATGAAACATGAGTAACAAAAATGTTATTGTAAAAGTGTTGTAGGAATAATAGCTTTCTTTGTTTCAAATGAAAAATAATTGTTAATGTGTTATTAAATTTTTATTGTTTGGTGGTTAGGGCTCTTGACTCGCAATCTATAGGTCGCAGGTTCAAATCCCTTTACTGAACATGCTTGTCTTTCAGCTGTGGCGGTGTTATAAAGTGATGGTCAATACCAATATACGTTGGTAATGAGTAGCCCAAGAGCTGGTGATGGATGGTGTTAACTAGCTGGCTTCCTTTTAGACTATGATTTCAAAATTAGGGATGGCTAAAGCAGATAGCCCTCAAGTAGTTTTGTGCAAAATTCAACAAACAATAACAAATTATTAATTTTCTAATCACAAATATGATTTATGATTTTTAAAAAATGACAACAAATTCATATAAAGATTCATAAAATATTGTTACGACAGTGGGGTCCCCTGCAATATCTTAGTTTAGAATATCTTTTTATTTTATTTGTACTTCAAATGACAAAATACAAGTGGAAGAAAATACTCAAAATTACTGAAATTCATGAATATAAAATTTTTGAAAGGATACAAAATTTTACTCCAATATTGTAAAGCACAAGTGGTATATGTAGACTCAGGATTGAAGGTAATTTTAATTATATTTATGTCATTTATTTTTATAGAATATTTTGTGAGAGTAACTTCAAGAAAAACAATTTTGTCATTAATGAATCAAGATATGTAATAAAAACTATAGGGATAGAACCATGAGGAGCACTATTATTAAGAAATAAACTATCAACAGGCAATAATGTCAGTAAGAAAGGCAGAAAGTCTACAGGAGAGGGTAGTGTTAATAGCATAATTTTTGACACTTAGACCTAAAACTATTGTTCCAGATTAAAACTAAACTTTCTAAACATTTGGAAAGATAGCTACTGTTGATTGCTTCAAGCTAAAAAGTTTAATTATGAAGTCATTGAGAATGGATTGTATGTAATAAAGTTGCCAATTTTGAGCAGCAGATTGGAGCTCACATTACGTGGTTTGCAATGGGAATGATCTTGAACTATGTGGATAATATTTTATAGATGCCAACATAAGGCAAAAAAGTGCCTATTTGCATACACATGTAACATTTCTTAATCATATAGAAGGTAGAGACAAGAACTCTCGCCCCCTAGCAACTGGGTTTCAATACCCGTGGTGGGCAGAGCACAGATAGCCCATTGTGAACTTCTACAAATCCTTCAAAGATTGCAGCAGTGAAAGACTGGACCCAGTTTATAAACTAGAAATAAGTCTACAATCTTCTTGGCCATACATATATTTATGTTTTATGTCCAATATTTACAAAATTATGCATTATTTATGCATATATAAAAATGCATTATTTTCTGTATGAATTAAATCTGATTCACATTTTAGATGGGCTGAAGATTGTGAAGAGACATTTCAGCCATTAAGATGTATCTTAGTCGATGAAAAGCACCAAAGTTGAACAATACTTTAAAATAAAATATTCATCTTGTTTACAGACCTTGGTAATGGTGGAACCACAAGATCAAAATGGTATAAAACAGGTTGTCGTACAGTGGGCACTACTGAACGCCAATGCTCTTGACAAAGAAAGAAGTACTTGCAGTTGTAAGATAGATTAAGAATTTTTTATTTTATGTTATGGCAAGGATTCAGTTGTTATGGGAAAGGCCTTTTCCTCGACTGAAATGTTCAGCAATATGTGCATCTCCCTTCGCCCCTCTCACATTAGTTAGTTTATCTAGCATACACAAATGATTAATGTATACTCTCCTACCAAAAGTCATGTGACACACTTCTGGTTGCAGGAAAATGGGTGTGACGACGAAATATTCAAATAGTTTGGCCTATGAAGGTAATCAACGGTTCACTCGGAAGTTATTTCGAACTTGTACGCCAAACGATGAGTGCTCGGAAAGAGCTAACAGAGTTTCAGAGGGTAAGAATAGTTGGATGTCATTTGGGGAAAATGTATGTGCTATTGTGCAACAATTAAACATTCGTAGATCGACAATTAGCAACATGCTGAAGAAATGGAAGTCCACAGGTGACAATGAGCCCAAGAAATGATTAGGTAAGCGTAACATGCTGTTGCGTCAGCGAGGTCACGTGACTAGTATCGGGAGATTACTAGATTGGTGGTATGCTGGTGTTACGTCTCCGTTTGTTAATTGATTTTTCCGTAACTTTGTTCCGACGAAACTTAAACGACACAAGTTCTTTACTTAATAAAACTGGTTTATTCTTTCCGAATATCACTTTA